TTCAGTCTGGATTTGCCACACGGCAAGCGAGCTTCCCGCCCACCCGCCCCTTTTTTCGTTCTCTCGCACTAGTTGCGTACAGGTTCCTGTCTGTTTGCACTAATGGTCCTGAGGTCTGTGTTGGCTGTGTTTTGGTTGTGTCATTTTGGTGGTTACAGGACTCGTCTCAGGTGCGTAGTCCTTGGCGGATTCTTCAGTAAAGAGGTCTAAGTCATAGTTCTACAAGGTCTCTGCAGTTTCTCATATTTGTCCCTGAGTCGGTGTGTTGCGGCTAGGGACCAGTGTTTAAGTGGTTTGCAGAGACCGACAATCTCAGTAAAAAGGTGCCTTTACAGACCTCAGATATAGTTAGAAATATATTTATATTGTTTGTTATAAGTGATTGTGTTATTTATACACACCCTGTTTCACTTGAAATTTGTAATAAAAGGCTGCTACAGCCATTTTAACTCCAATCTCGAGTGTGGTGTCTTAATGGGGAGGTGGGGATTATTGGAGGGTGGTGGCATAGCAGCATGGGAGTTTGGGTGTAAAATTGTTATGGGACCATGTTCTACCTTGTCATGCAACAGCCAGCTTCCCAATCTTTAACCTGGGACTGTATCTTATCTGCATGAAATGGTCACTGGTCCTGTACGGATTACAGCAACATGACCGGTCAGCAGGGCAGGATTTCCCACAAGGCCAACCAAGGCCCGGGCTCGGGGCAGCAGGGAGTAGAGGGGCAGCAGGGGTGTGGAATTCTTATATCCCGACGCCCGGGACATGTAGTTCTGGGCGCCCAGCGGTAGTTGTTTTCTACATTTAGCCCTGCTAAGCGGGGGAAGCCACGGCTTGTTTTCTACAAGTGAGCTCGGTGATGACACAGAGATCCCTTGTATGCAGCCTGAAGGTCTGCCATTCTCCATTGGGAAGGGGGGCGGGGGAATGGGAGGGTGGGGGGGGCACATTGAGGAACCTGGCCTTGGGGCAGCACAGAGAGTAAATACAGCCCTGCCACTCAGAAGCCAGCATGCAGAATGGACCAGTCATCACATTTAGAATATTCAGAGTGGAAGATTGCAGGACAACAGATTCCATAGATTCTATCTATAAACATAATTGCAGGGTCCTTTTGCCCTGCAAATATATCTTTGAACATTAGTTTTGGGTGAATAATGCCAACTACAAATGTTCCCAATATATATTTTTTCCAGTTCGAATGCATTATCATATAATACTACATTTTGACCACTAGATGGAGCTGAGGACCATAGGAAAGAAGTATTGATTTCCTATGCTCATCAGCTCCATCTAGTGGCCTTAATTGTAGTATTACATGACAGTACATATAAATACACCCATTGCTGTTCAGACATTTATTTTTGAAAAGCAGCAACAGCGTAATGAGGACCAGAGAAGAGAAACTGTACTTTTTTTTAATGCGTTGTGGTGCTTTTTAACACATCATTCTGCTCAGAAGAGAAGTTTCAGTAAGTACGCATTTTGAGGTTTAAATGCAAGCATCTGCATTTGACCTGGTACCAGACTGTTGTTGTGCATGTACAGTAGAGCTCGGAGAGGGAAAAGCAGCACAAGGAGAGGGAAAAGCAGCACAAGGAGCAAGTCAGCTGTGTTGCAGTGCTCATATACTAACAAGGAACATGATCCCAGGAGGAGAGCAGAGTGACAGAAGAATGAACTCAACAATCTACTGCTTCTCAACAATCTACTGCTTCAGAGGCTGGGGAAGGATAAGACTTTATCAAGGCTAAACAGATCTACAAATAATAGGGGAAAAAACAGTGCAGGTGTGCATGTATTTCAACCATGAATTTAGCATTTTGCCTTAAGTTCAGGAAAAATTAATTTTTCCTAGAAGTTCTCTTTCCATAGAGCCTCACCTGACGGCTGTGTGGTCTTTGCTGTCAACTCGTATCGGTGGCAGCCACTGAGGTGTAGTCCATGGTTCTCTTGGCCCGAGTATTCTCCTTCCAAGTTCACCGACTAGGCTGCCCATGTCGGTCTTCAACGTTCGAAGGTCCCTCTCAGTTCGGTGATACTCCCTCATTTCAACCTGCAGGCCCAACTCTACCAGCTGCAGACGAGACAGCTGAGAGAGCACAGCCTCCGCCACTGGAGCTTGTTCTTGGTCTATCCATGCCAGCCTCTGTCTCTCGGTATGAACCCAGCCTTGGTGGGCATGTAGGCATAGCCCCACTGAAGCCTCGCAGACCAGCGGAGGTAGTCTCTGCAACTGCAAACTTTCCACCTCAGCCTCTAGCATCTGTACTTCCCTCTCCATCAAAGGCAAACGTTGAGGATCCCAAACCTGGCAAAATGGTCAATTGACCTAAGCAAGTTACTAAAAGTGATAAAAGTAGGAAAAACATTCAAAAATATGTGTAGACGCCCCCACATCGGCACAGAATATAAGATTTTTGACATTTGTACAACAACATCCCAACATTATGACTAGACAAGAAGCCTGCAGCTGTGGTTTGAAAAATAATGATTCCTTAAAGAAGATGTTGGAACTTCTTGCACAGCCTCAGAGAGAAACACAAGCACACAGTCTGATATGCTGCACATGGCTTGAAGGAAGCCACAGCTTTATTCTCTACAACAGAGCATATACCATAGATATATAAACAGAACTTATAAACACTGCCATCTAGTGACCGAAATTGTATACTGCAGGAGTTATTGCTATAAACACAGTAATGTGTATTCTTTAAAAAAAAAAGTTACTTTTTCTGGTCTTATTTAAAATTATCTCAACACACAAAGTCGATATTACAGTTTTGGGCAGACTGAGATTTTCAATGACTTCCTAGCCTCTTATTGTCCACCATACTAGTTTAGGTTTTCACCCACTTCTTCATCGTCAAAAGAAGCTGATCTCTCCTAGCTGGGCTCACAGATTACGCTATGATTCTTATGGAGAATCCATTATGGCGACAACATTTTCGGCTTTGCAATGGCTGTGCCAACTAAGCAGAACAGGGAATTTTGGTTGGGATATGCCACCATTGGAGTCCACAAGGGCTATAGGAGACCAATACGTGCATTAGCTTAACTGCCCAACAAAATAACACTTTAACCAACATTCAGTAACACATTTTCCTTACACCTTCCTACCCCCTCCCCTGTCCTCAAAACCCGCCTCCAACAGTTTTACACACCCCTTGCCCCCCTGCCAACCAAAAATGCTCAGTTTCAGTCTTGAATCCCTCTTCCGGTAATTTTGTCCTTCGGTAGAATTTTCCACAAACGATTTTTCTCTGCGGCCTGTTTTCTACGCGAATATACCTCCGATTCTTTATTTTCTCTTTAGAAGTGCATATGTTGTTTCTAACTCTGAGGATGCACATGTCTAATGGTTAAAGGAAATCAGCCATAAAAAACAAAACAAAACAAAAAAAAACATGGAGTCTGTTGAGCTCTAGTTCTGAAAATGCTATTGATTGACTGGCATGCTGATTCTCTTACCTTAATGTTTGAGACACTGACTTGGAACGAGTATTCAGGTAAGTATTTTGTTTTACTTTGCTGTCCTGTACATGTAACAGGTCAGTGACTCAAATAACAGCCAGGGAACTAGCATTTTTAGAAAGAGGACAGTAGTGACAGCCCACTTTTTTTTTTTTTTTTTTTTTTCTCTTTATCCATCTATAGCCAAAAACTTTTTTCTACAATTTGGTTAGAGTGTAGAAGGATTAGTACTCACAGTGCCACAACCAAGATGGCTGCTTACTATAAACTGCAATGCCGGCAGCCATTTTGGTTGTGGTAGTGGGGACGCACTGAATATGCGCAAGATGGTCGCCAGCAATGAGGTTTATTGTCAGCGGCCATCTTTTTGGTGGTAAACAACTCCAGAAGACAAGTGTCATCACCCGGCGCAGGGTGATGAAGCTTGTCTTCTGGTGCCATGTCCATACACTTGCCGTACAGACACTTGCGCATTGTCTGTACAGCAAGTGTACGTACATGGCGACAAACAAAGCATCATCACCCCACGATTCATTATCGCAAACAAAAAAAGAAGGAATTAAAGGGCTGCCGGGAGGTGCGTACCGCCAGTGGAAAAGCCCTGAGTACCCATGTCAGGTTTTCTTGATGTCCACGTTCCAACTGCAAAAAGTCACCCTCTGGTGACCATCACTGGTCACTGGCACAGGAAGTGATCCAAAATTTTACAGTTCTCACTGGAACAGGAGATAAAAGGAAAACCTTCCATTGGAGACACTAGTTCTGGTGACAACAGCCTAAAGCTGGCCATACACTGAGAAACTTTTGGCCAGTTCTTGATGAACGGATTGAAATTCGCTCTATGGGTGGCCCTGTCTTCAGCCTCCCATCTGACATATACAGGGTTATTCACAAAAGAGTGAAGAGTTTGGAGAAGGGAGAAGAAGGAAACAATCTAGGACAATATATCTGAACTGTAAAAATTCTCCTATTCAGCTCGCTGTCCAGTTCAGTTATGTTGTCCTAGATTGTTTCCTTCTCCGGCCTTCTCCAAACTCTTCACCCTTCTGTGAGTAACCCTTTTAGAAATCAAAAGAAAAAAAAAATCTCATCCAAACAGTGCCAATCAACTGAAGTCACTGGGTATTGTGACTGTGGCACACCCACCGATATCAGAATATGATGGGGAATCAGTTAGATTTTTTTTTTCCTTTCAGCCCGCAAGCTTTAACACTAGTGTATGACCAGCTTTTAAGCAAAAATCCCTAATTGTGGCAAGTTTTCCACTCACTTCCTGTTGTGTCTCAAGAAGAGGAAGTAAAAGACACCATCCTGATGGGGAGTAAACAGCCAATTGGAGCCCCAACCATTTCCTATTCTACCCAAAATAAAACAAACAAAAAAAAAGTTTTAGCTTTGGATACACTGTACCTATTGCATTGTGGAGCTTTCTAGAAATGCAAAAGAATTCTGGTGCTTGGACATGCCATATGAGAAGAAAAAAAAAATTACATTTGAAAGAAAAAATATTCTGGAGGCAATATGGAATATGCAAAATATCAATAAAAGTTGAACTTTTCCTTAATATTCTTATCTCTCACCTGTTCTCCCACATTCCTATCCAGCCATTTTAAAGCCTCCATATTACCATTGAGGGTAGCAAGTGCAAAGCTTAGTTGTATTTTCTGGGAGGACCATGCCGTTCGAACTCTGTTGCTTTCCTTTTCCATCTCTGTGTGAGCTTTCCTTTCTTTCTCCAGATCTTCCTCTTTTACAGGCAACGCTTCCATGGCATTCTGTTCCACTTGTTTCCAGCATGTTTCTTCAAGTTTTATGTAGCCATCCAAGTCAACAGAAGATAGGAAGATACCCTGGCAAGACTTGCCAGTGTGATAGTCTCCAAGCTCTGTTGCCATCTCTCGAAGTCTCACCAAGGCTGCATTGCACCTCGAGTTTAGAGTTGAAAGTTCTTCCTTGGTGTTACTCAGACACTTCTCCTCTTGCCTCTCCACCTTCTCCAAGGACAAACGACTGTGGAACAATGTCAACCCCAAAGACTCCAACTTGTTGCGGCATTGCAGTCGATGAGCTTTGAGGGTTTGCAAGCTCTGTAGCTCCGCTTCGAGTTCCTCCAAGCTTTTTGTATGTTCAGTCCTGGAGTCCCCTTCTGCTTCATTCGCACCATGGCAGAGGTCTTGAAGCTCATCTGCTTCTAGAAGAGGTTGTCCAGAGTCTAGAAGAGCATCGTAAGCCTCCAATTGCTCACTGGTTAAGACATTTTTCTGATCCACAGCGCTACAAAGCCAGCTTAGAAAGACCTCTAACTCTTCACTGCCTTCACAGAGCCAATCAAAATCCTCCCCTTTAAGATCCTGTGCTCCAGGGTAACCAATAAGATGGAGCATCTCAACAAAGTCTGAGCCTTTAACATGGGCAGAGTCCAGAAGAAAGCAAGTAGATCGTTGACGAGAGAGCCTCGAAGTGGGGGGCGCATTCTAGAAAAAGAAAATAAATATTGTTACTTTTCATGAGGGAAGCATTGGGGGCTGCCATTACTGACCTCCATATGCAAATGCTAGTTGCCTGGCTGTTATGGAGATCTGTTGACTTCAGTACTTGGGTTAGTGACACAGAGTATTAAAGTCAGTGGGTCAGTATGATACCTAGGCATTTGTAGGGGAGTTCAGTAATGGCTGCCTCCATGTTTCTCATGTCAAAAGTGAACTAAATTCTGTAATCCCTAACTGTCCCCTCTTCAAAAGTCCTTCTGCTTTCCAGCTCCCTCGTCAACTCCTCCCATGCTCACCTTCAAGACTTCACTAGAGTCTCTCCCATCCTCTGGAACTCTTTACCCCAACCTGTCCATCTATCTCCCACTCTGACTGCCTTTAGGCGATCCCTTAAGATTCATCTCTTCAGGGAAGCTTATCCGACCTCAACCTAACCGCTCAACCATCACGTTCTCAAAAAATTCATCCCCACACAGCTAACTCCTCATGTATCACTTCTCCCTCCCTGGGCAATTTAAAATCAAAATACAGTATGTAGCAATAAATTGGTAAATAGGTAAAGTACTTACTAAAAGTTTAGCCATTGTATCCCGTATGGATGGATGGATATTTAAGAGTTCCTGGATAAAATGAAAAACATATGACTGTTATTAACATCAGCTTGGATCAGTATATTTGCCATGACATACTGACACAGTTACATTTATATCGAATAATACCTTAAAGTAGAAGTCAACCAAACCTTTTTTGTTTCTGTTTTGGATGGAGTAGGCAATGGGGAGTGGGGTTAGAACCCTGTTGGGTTTTACAGCAATCTGGAACAGATTTCCCCTCACTTCTTGTTTTGCTGACAATGTATTCAGTAGAAAAGAAGTAAAGGAAATCTGCAACAGTGACATAAGACTGCTATAAAAAAGGTGACAGGCATTTTTATATTTTGCCATTGGAGATTTCCCTTTACTTCCCGTTTGGTAAAAAAACAACTATTTTCAGCAGAACAGGAATTGAGGGGAAAATCCCTAATGGAGTCCCGGAAAGGAGTAAAATATGAGAGAGGTTCTAACCTTTTCCCACTGCATCTGAAACCCCCCACACAAATATTTTAGTTGTTGTAAAGCAAACCTGTGTTTTTTCTTGAATGGGTTATAGCCCCCTTCATCTGTAGCGTATACTTAGTGTACCTTATGTAGTTCCCCTGCTGGTTAGTTTAGTGCCGGGCGTAGAAAGAACAACCTTGTAATCCGGGGTATGGATGGAGAACCATGTTACACACTCCATGTAAAATGCTGATCCACATGGGGATTCCATTCCATTTCTGTCCTCTAGGATTCCCGAAACTTGTAGCTTACAAAAGTAATTTATTTTATTCCCGGCGGCTGAACAGAGCAATTGTGGGAGCAAACAAAAAGGCAAATTATATATATATTCTGATGTGAAGGGGGGAACAAGAGTGCCACTATGGAGAGGGAAGGTGGACAAGAGGAGCAACAATATGGAGAGGAGGAGGTGATGAGAGGGACCATGGTGACAGAAGATGAGCATCACTAAAGAGACAGAAGAGAGAGGAGACGTGTGGCACTATGAACATGTGGGAGCAGAGGAAAGTCATTATGGAGAGGGTAGGTGGAGAAGAGGGTCAATATGGAGATGGGAGGAAGAGGAGATGAGAAGCACAATGGAGACAGAAGGGTGAGAAGATGAACAGCGTTATGGACATAGTAGGGGAAGGACATAAGTGGCACTATATAGACAGAAGGTGGAGGAGATGAGTGGCACTATTGGCAGGGAAGGCTCAGAAGACAATTGACGCTGCAATGAAGGAAGAGCAGATCAGTGGCATTAGGGAGAGGGGTGGTGGAGGAGGAGAACTATAGAGAGGGAAGTGACAGTGTATGAATACTGCTGGTAGATATTGCTGGCACTTTTATTAGAGGGCAACAATTGTAAGGTTATCTGTTCAAATTGGATGAATAGTATAAGAACCCAGTGCAGGTTAAAAAATAAACATATAAAAAGGCCGCCACTTAGTAAAGAACACCCGTCAGCATATAAGATTTAATTTTCTTGTAAAGCTTTTAAGATGGGAAGCCAGAGGAACATTTTGGTTTTTTATATAAAGCATATCCATTTACACTTCGCATTTCTTGTGCGTTGTTCATTTTGAATGTGGTGCCAAAACGCACAAGGACAAAAAAAAAAAGGTACAGTGCACGACAACGCACGCTACTGCATCACTGTGTACTGAACTGCAATGAATGTGCTCTGGAGCCGTGTTGCCTTAGTGTATTTGGGTGCCATTCAAAATAAATAGCACCACAAGGCTCTAATGTGCATAACATGGAGTTGTGGTGTTTTGTAAAGAATAAGGGCCGAAACGTTACGTCACGAGTGAACTCAGGGAACACCAAAAATTGAATTGCTGATTTTGTGTATACAAAGTAGTGCACTTATACACTATACATAAAATTACACACAATCTGCATGTTGCACATAGCCCTGCACTATACACAAAGTTTACACATACCCCTGCTCTATACACAAAAATACACATAGCCCTGCACTATACACATAGCCCTGCACTATACACAAACATACACACAGTTTGCACAATGCACACAAAACATGCACATAGCCCTACAATAAAAATAAAATCACAAGCATGCATGCAGCCCTACATTATATTCACACACATGGGGGGATCTCCTGGGGCCCTAATGGATGTGGGGACCCTGGGCAATAGCCCCCCAACTCCAGCCCTGCTCTTGACAAACCGTGCGTTATACCCATGATACAAAAGGAAGAGAAAACAGTATACAAGGTCTGATGGTAGACAGAGAAGCCCCCAACATTTCCCTCTCATCTATTCTTTATCCAACAGAACACTAAAGAATAAGTTAATGTTTATATGTATAATGAAGCACCATACCTGGTCAATTAATCTGTGCAGGGTATCATAAAGCAAATGTATGTTTGAGATGAACACACAGCTTCAGGATAATTATTTAAACTGTTTCCACCTGAGCTCTACCCCAGATGAAGGAAGCCATGAAATGGTATCAGGTCCAGCAACATTTGTTAGTAGCTTTTTTAAAGAGACACTCATCACCAGTGATAAGGGGGTTTGTTGTGAACCCAGTTCATCTGAGTTTGTTCAACCCTGCACAAAACACCTCCCCCTCCCCCCTCCCAACCCAATCACTTGCAGCAGGGACATTTCCATTTCCTCATACATTAATCACCAATTTTTTGCACCATCCAAAATGTCCTTAGAATATCCCAGTGTATATAAATAAAATCCCAAACATACTAAATCAATAAACTTAAAAAAATCCATCTTCCCATTAATAAAGCACTCTGTGGACCCACCAAGACATAAGACGCCTAAAGGCATTCAGACTGTTGCAGTGCGTTGCATTACCACACGCATGTTATCATGATTGTTTTGACTGTAACGTGCATTGATTTACAACAGTCCATTAACATGAATGGACTGCCAATCCTCTACATACCTAATCCCAGTCACAGGTAACCCTGCCCACAGTCTACCTCAGGCCCGCCCAGTGACTGGGAAGTCCTGCCCAGACCTTGTCTACTTACCCGAGTGTCCCACCCAAACCCTGCCTCTAATTATGCAGGGACTACCCACCCTCAGACCTCGATCACTATAATGAATGCATTTTTGAGTTACTGTGTATGCGCAGTAACGCAAATAATGGTGACACTGTGATCCCGGGACACAGAATCTTTGGGATTGAAGTCCAAGATGGGGGACTGTCCCAGCAAATTCGGTGCATTTGCATTTATGCCTCTGTAATGCACATTTTAACAGACTTGAAGAATTTTATTCCAACATGGCGCACCACAAAATGCAGATGTTTCACATATGTAGAATGTGGTGTGCTAAAACACAAGTGCTTCCCTGCCTAGGTACACTAGGGGCCCCATTCAGATTGGCTTCACACTATTATTAATGCACTACTGTTTTTGTGTTGCATTGCCTTTAATAGGGGGCAATGCGCTCACAATGCAGCGCACCACAATAAAACTCACACTGCAGTGCACGGCAATAAAACAAATAAGAGACCCCCTTTTTTGTTCCATTGTTTTGCTTTGGCAGCCTATTCTAAATGGATTAGTTGCCTTGATGCAATGCCTGTTAACATGTGAAATACAGAGCTTACACATAGATGAATGTAGTCTCCAGGTCTGCAGCCTGCCCAGGGTCAGGCAATGTCTATGTGCTCTCCAGCATCCTGTGCTGTAAAAACCATGACGAGTAATGGCAGCATGCTATCTCATGCAAGATACATTTTTTAGGTTTGGACCCAGCTCTTGAAGTACAACGTAAGATGCTGGGAATGAACCTGGCCAGTGCTGGGTGGACAATGGCAGTAGAAGTTTCATTCATCAGCATGGGGGACCTGTGCAGCTATTGGGAAGTCCAATGAGAAGAACTGAGAGACAAATATGACAACATGTTGAGTATCAGGGTTATTCACAAAAGGGTGAAGAGTTTGGAGAAGGCAGGAGAAGTGAACAATCTAGGAACAGGGATGGCTTTAGGTGCCCTGTGCGAGAAAGCTTTACAGCGCCCCTCAGTAACCACACCCCTCAGTAACCATACCCCTCAGTAACCACACACATTTTTTCAATATCCGCGCCATTTAAAGACTCCTATTTTGTTAAACCGCAAAGAAACATATTAAAAAGTGTGATAAAAATAAAACTTTTATTCAAAGGTATTAAACTTGTAGGCACAATATAAGTATTCTTATTACATAAAACAACAGAAGGCAAACAATGGTAAACAATAAATGTTAAACTAAAATAGAGTCTATAAAAATAAAGTGTCAGGTTGTCATGCCGACCCTTTCTTCAAGTAAGTGCATCTAGAAAAGTAAAAATAAAAAACAGAACACAAAATCTAGACTACATGTTAAATGAATGAATTACTATTTGTCCGAATATACGAAAAATGTATTCAGGCACATAATAATTTGTTTGAGAATGTGCGGCGGCCATGTTGGCCCCCAATGCATTCTGCGAATGCACACCGCCATCTTTTTCACCAGCCCCAGCACTCAATGAATGGGAAGCACTCAGTACAGAGGCTTCCCATTCATTCAGACACAGTATAATATTTACTATCACCAGTTTCTGAATGGGGAGGAGCCTCTGTAGTGAGTGCTACTCCCCACTGAGAAATGAATTCATACCTGGGGACACATAGTACTATGTAATACTCAGTTATTACTAACTGAGGAGGGAGCGCTGTCATGTCGGATGGCCAGCGGTGAGGAGGAGAGAAGTCGCCCCGAGGACGAGCTGTGTTGGCCGCCTGGCGCCCTGGTTGCCATGGCGCCCTGTGTGGCCGCACAGCTCACACACCTCAAAGGCCGGCAATGTCTAGGAACATTGCTGGACTGGAAATAATTTTTCCATATCAGACATGTTGTCCTAGATTGTTCACTTCTCCTGCCTTCTCCAAACTCTTCACCTGTTTGTGAATAACCCTGCAAACGTTGACTATCAGATACTGTATATAAGTATAAGCGTCAGTGTAATATTTCCAGGTATTTATAACCTCTCACAGAGATCACAGTACTGCCCCTGACAATACCTTGATCTATTTTCTCTCTTCATGGTGCCATGTTTAGGAGGTAGATGGTGAACCAGTGTGATTCCAGGTTCTCTATCTACTTCCTGAAGTAATATAATGGCTTAGAGATAACACAGTCATGTAAATCCTTCCTTAAAACTGGGTACCAGCCAACACCTATCACCAAGTCAAGGCAAAAATAGCAATCTGAAGTTTATTAAACAAATCTCTGTCTTCAGGTTACTTTGTTCAGTGCTGGTAAACAGTCACCAGGTCATCTCTCTAATCTGTTTTTTTACGCTTGTGATTTCAATTGCTAATAATAGCTTATGCTGATAACCCTTTGATGAACAAGAGCCAAGGCTGAACTCGGGGTGGGGGGAATTATTAAGGGACAAGTTTGCTAAAAGTGAGCGGGTCCTTTAAGCCTGACTGTTGACTGATACACAAAGACACACCTTGCTTGTTTGGCCAGATATGAAACGGTCTTCGGTTCTCTCCCCACAGGACAGGACAGGACTGATGCTGCCTTATTATAGACAGATGGTCCAGGGGACAGATTCCGTTCAGACGTCAGCTAGAGAAGTCCTGGACTCTCTGATGGGGAAACAGCTAGTCCTTCTCTCATAATGGTCCTCACATGGAGCTCTTCTACCTGTGCTGGTAAGATTGGGATAAGGAGTGTTTGTGTTGTGTGTAGTATTCTAGGACAAAATGTTTTAATGACAAATCACTTTCTGTAAAGTCACCTACACTGGTAGATTCCCAAAGGAATGTTCAAATGAAAAAGCTCATCAGAACAATAGACAACCCCATCAGGGACTTGATGACTGTCGTTTAAAATTTAATTTGATTGTGACATTCGATTTTGGAATGGAAGGAGTTTCTCAAGCAAAACTGTAGGAAAACATTTTTATCCTGCTTTTTCGATTTTTTCCATCACAATGATCATCAATGTGACCCCCAATTATTAGAAAATTGAATGAATGTTCAGATTTTTTTTTTTTTAAACAAAATTCTCCTGGTGTATAGCCAGCTTTAGGTCATGTTCTGGATCAGTCATGCTGCTCTCGTCATTGAAGTGAATTCCTAACATGGGCCAAACATCCCATGCAATGTTTGAATTGTCGTGACACAGGGCAATGCCCGACAAACCCAGTTTGGCTCAGTACACCCTTACCTACCCAATATCTGGAGGGAAGTTGGCAGGAAGACATTTAAAGGAGATTCCTGGGAAACGTGGAATCCACATCCCTGAGAAAATCCCAATTTTGTTCTGTTAAGGGTAGACAACTAAAGTGTGACTACAAAGGCACACTTTCACCCATAGAGAATGATTGGAGGAGTGGTTTCCTTCCCAATGTCTGGGAGGAAGTTGGCAGGAGGACATTTAAAGGAGATTTCCAGGAAAAGTGGAATCCATATCCCTGAGAAAATCTCAATTCTGTTCTTTTAGGCTGATCGAAGCGCTGAAAAACGCTCAGCAAGTGAAAAATTCATCATTTCCTATGGGCATGGTTCCCACCTGGGGGTATTTCAGCCCGTGGAAATGCGCTGAAAAACGCCCTACGCCAAAACAAGTACAGGAGCCTCTTTGGGGCATTTTCCGCGCGTATCCATTGGTATTCCTGAGTGTGACTCGGGGTTAACAAAGCGGTAACCCCGAGCCACACTCGGGAATACAGCGTAGATCTTACCTTGTCCGCGATCCCCACTGTGTCCTCCGACCGCTGCCGTCTTCCGGATTCCGTCCCTTGCGAGCGTCCGTGTGGCAGGGGGCGGAACCGGCGGGAAGTTTGAAAAATTAAAAAAAACCCAGAAAAAAAGATAGAGAAAATAAAGGGAAAAAAAATCACTGAACGAAAAAACGCGCTAAAAACTAGCTGAAGAAACGCGCCTACAGTACGCCCAGGTGTGAAACCAGCCTTAAGGGCTGACAACTAAAGCATGACTACAAAGGCACACTTTTACCCAGAGAGAATCATTGGGGGAATTTACTAAAACTGGAGCAGACGGAATCTGGAGCAGCTGTCCATGGCAACCAATCATCTCTCTTTCATTTTCAAAGTTTGAACAAACTGAAGAGAGATTGGTTACTATGGACAACCGCTCCAGATTCTGTCTGCTCTACTTTTGAAAAATGTCCCCCTGTTGCATTTTTGGGTAACTCTGTAATGCCAGATGGTACCAGTAGGTGGCACTGCAGCTTTTGTTTTGTAATAATTTCAAGCATAAATGTAATATAATGCAGCTTATCAGTCCTTAGATGTGGTGGCTGCATTAGTTTTCTTTTTCAGGCTCCTTCCCTATATTTTAATGATCATGCTAATAATACATTTCCTGTCCCTGGGTCGTTACGTTCACTCCCACGGTATCTATGAAGGGCGTGATGGTCGTCACCCAGGCTGGACTTCAAACATGTCTGCCTTTGTTCATCTCCACTACATGGGGGTAAAGAGATTCATAGTTTACAAAAGAAAGATGAGGTAGTTTTACCTGATATCCAGCTCACAGCCAGGAAAAGGACAACTAGTGCAGCCACCACATATATGGACTGGTAAGCAGTAAAAAGTATTAAAGTTTTGATTTTGGGGTTATATATGAAAGAAGAAACACACATGCAGAGGAAGGGGTTGGTGGTAGAAGCGTTTTTATAATCCTGATAGGTGTCAAATCATGGGTGATATCTAGAGATGGTCTCGATGTTGTTGTTGTTTGACTCGAACATCGGTAGTTTGTGTGTTCGGTGAACACACGAATGCCCCAACACACGAATGCCCCACAAGGCACTGCGCACCGCACAGTGCCTTGTGAAGCTCTAATTCGGTAAAGCAATGCACCTGACCGCACAGTGCACTGTGCAAGTAATGAAGACTTTGCCCAATCATGGCTCACAGCTAAGTCCTGTCAGGTGCCCTAAAGCAGTGCTCCCGAACCTTTTTATCGCCGCGGACCGGTCAACGTTTGATAATTCTACTGCGGCCCGCTGAGGGGTGGGACGTTGATTGTTTATATTTTATATTTTTTTGATTTAATAATTTTAATTTAATTGTATCTAAACATGCCTTCAAAATAGCGTGGATGAATGCAAAGCAAGGCGATATAACAGGTAGTCTGCTTTTCTGGCTTGCATGCTAACGGATGATATGATGTATTGTACTTAATTTGTTATATTTTAAAAACAAAAAATAAAAGGGCGAAAAGGAACACGGGTCGGTGACGGGCCCCTTCGTGGCCCCGGGCAGTGCCCGACGGACTGAATGGTCAGTCCGCCCCTGGTTCCTTGGCCGGCCCGGTACCATTTGATCCACGGACCGGTACCGGTCCGCGGCCTGGGGGTTGGGGACCACTGCGCTAAAGGGTCTGGTATTGTCTGGGAGGGGGAACTGCACCCTTTTTTTTTTACAAATGTCAGTTTTGCTGCAGCAGGTTCTATACACCGTACAGATGCGCCACTTTACAGGCAGTTTAAAGGGACCCCCCAGACATGATATTTAAAGGAATGTTTCTTTTTTATTGTTTCACTTTAAGCAATGTTAGAATCACTGTACTTTTTTATAGTGTTTTTTTCCTTGATTCCTGTCCCCGAGGGCAGTACCCGGATCCCCATACATTTTTTATGGCCAATAACTTGCATATAAGACCTTCAAAATGGGGACATTTGATTTTCCGAGTTCTGGTCCCATAGACTTTCATTAAGTTAGAGTTAAAACTTTTTTCATGTTCTAAAGTTCGAACTTGAACCGAACTCAGGTGTGTTCGGACCATCACTAATGATATTCAGTTATCCTTATAATTTCCTGTTACTGACTGGGAACGTCATGTCAGACTGGAACTTTTTTGGCCTACATGAGGTCCTCTGACTCTTTGTAAGCCTCTGCTAGTTTTTGGATTTCAATAAAAGGAGACTCTGCTGTTGTTTGGTTGATAAAGGCTACACTTCCTTCTATAAATTTGCATCTGAATACTCCAGGAAATGTTTAATGGCTCCTTTCTCTGGAATAGAATGTAATAAGTAATACGTTGCAATTGTTACTATAATGTTAGTTTCCAAAGTTGACATAATTCCACTTAACTCAGCCCACTGTTATACACCGTACAGATGCGCCACTTTACAGGCAGTTTAAAGGGACCCCCCAGACATGATATTTAAAGGAATGTTTCTTTTTTATTGTTTCACTTTAAGCAATGTTAGAATCACTGTACTTTTTTATAGTGTTTTTTTCCTTGATTCCTGTCCCCGAGGGCAGTACCCGGATCCCCATACATTTTTTATGGCCAATAACTTGCATATAAGACCTTCAAAATGGGGACATTTGATTTTCCGAGTTCTGGTCCCATAGACTTTCATTAAGTTAGAGTTAAAACTTTTTTCATGTTCTAAAGTTCGAACTTGAACCGAACTCAGGTGTGTTCGGACCATCACTAATGATATTCAGTTATCCTTATAATTTCCTGTTACTGACTGGGAACGTCATGTCAGACTGGAACTTTTTTGGCCTACATGAGGTCCTCTGACTCTTTGTAAGCCTCTGCTAGTTTTTGGATTTCAATAAAAGGAGACTCTGCTGTTGTTTGGTTGATAAAGGCTACACTTCCTTCTATAAATTTGCATCTGAATACTCCAGGAAATGTTTAATGGCTCCTTTCTCTGGAATAGAATGTAATAAGTAATACGTTGCAATTGTTACTATAATGTTAGTTTCCAAAGTTGACATAATTCCACTTAACTCAGCCCACTGTTTCATAGGTGTCTGACTAGTTCCAGGGTATTATCAATACACAACACCTATACTTGTTTACTTAAAGTAGAACTGAAGCCAAAACTTTTTTTTGTTTTGGAGAAAGCAAGGGACCCCCCAACCTCCTGTGTCCCAATGGCAAGATTTCCCCTCACTTCCTTTTTGACTGCCACAGTGGAAAGGGAGAAGAAATCCCTTGAATGAGAGGGAAATCCAAAGTGATCAGCAGGGTCACCAGAACTAGGGTCCCCATTGGAAGATTTTCCCTCTATTCCTCTTCTGATGACGAGGACACAAA